GGAGGAGGAGGAGGAGGAGGAGGAGGAGGAGAACTATGGGGACCTTGGTGCTCTCTGAGCTGGGTGGTTTTCTTGCGGGCATTTCATTACCCAACTAGGTAACATCATCAGTGCCAGAAGGAAGTTGGGGGCTTGAGAAGGGAGGGAGAGGGGGAAGGGGAGGAGGAGGAGGAAGAGGGAGGAAGAAAAGGGAGGATTGTGAGGTCCTTGGTGCTCTCTGAGCTTGGTTGTTTTCTTGCAGACATTTCATTACCCAACTAGGCAACATCATCAGTGCTGGAAGGGGGTGGGGTACGCTCTCTGTTTATATACTAGCGGCTTGCCCTGTCAGTGGTGGTGGGGCCTCCCGTGATCCTCATCCAGCACGGATGATATTGCCTAGCTGGGTCATGAAACATCTACAAAAAAACAGCCAAGCCCGAGAGAGCACCGAAGACTCCTTCGTTCCGACCCTCAAAATATTCTCCTTTATCGATTATTCTGGAGAACACGACGAACTATTGTGCCTTAAAAAACAGAGGTGGCCAAACGATGGGAGGAAAAATAAAAAAATAAAAAAATTACTAATTGATATCGAAGGGAGCTTTTGGGGGGGCCTTTGCCAATTATTTAGAAATGTTGAGTCACGTGGAGAGGGCACAAGTTGTAAAAAGTTGGCTCGGCTTGGAGCAGGAAAGGAGACGTTTTTACAGTCTCGTTCTGAGATCCTTGGCTAAAATCTGAATTTCCTAGCCTCTGCGCCTAGGCAATTGGGCTGCGATATTCATATACAGATGAATTATTATTATCGGTCGAAGACCAAACGAATAGCAGAGACGACGTCAGGAACGAGGCCAGCGCATCTGGAGGACGCCAATCCGTCGAAGGTTCGTGAAGGAGGAAAATCAGGGCGTTCTGAAAGGAGCGCAAGATGACGTGGCAAAAACACAACACAACACAACACAACATGACGTTTTGTTTTTATTTTTTGTCCTTACTTTGCTTGCTTCTCGCGGACTCTGAAGAGTTGGGGCGAAAGCTTGGCTGAGGTCCGGACGGGGAGAACTGGGGGGCGATGGACGGGAGCTTCCCTCTGCCGGGCCGGAGGTTCTGGAAGTCCGGGGCGCAGGGCAGTTTGGGTTTGCCGGCGAGGCTCAGGTGGAATTCACTGCGGGGGGGGGGGGGGGGGGGGGGGAGGAGGAGGAGGGGGGGGGGGAACTTCGGGGGGGGGCTTGGGAGAAGGACGGAGAGGAGATGCTGAGTAGGTCTGAACAGATGGAAAACAGTTGCGGAATAGAATTAGAATAGAGTAGAATGGAATAGAATAGAATGGAATGGAATGGAATGGAATGGAATGGAATACTTGAATATAGAATAGAATAATGGGATAGAATGGAATGGAATAGAATAGAATAGAGTTAGAGTTAGAGTTAGAGTTAGAGTTAGAGTTAGAGTTAGAGTTAGAATTAGAATAGAATAGAATAGAATAGAATAGAATAGAATAGAATAGAATAGAATAGGACTAGAATGGAATTGAATAGAATTAGAATTAGAATATAATTGAATAGAATTAGAATTAGAATTAGAATTAGAATGGAATGGAATGGAATAGAATAGAATAGAATGGAATAGAATA